TATATCTGATTTATACACACGACTTGCCAACGAGTGCAACAACGTTCACAGCAACTTTTGCTGATGATACTGCAGTCCTTGCAGTTGGAGAAAGCGCAGTAATAGCAGCTAATAATTTGCAAAATAGTTTGGACAGTATAATTGCTTGGACAAAAAAATGGAAAATTAATCTGAATAAAGAAAAATCAGTGCATGTAAATTTCACAAATCGAAACATCAGTCATATACCTGTCTACATCGATGAAGCACAAATCCCTCACGCGAATACTGCGAAATACTTGGGTATGACTTTGGACGCTAAACTAAGATGGAGCGAGCACATAAAAAAGAAAAGAAGTGAATTAGATCTTAAATTCAAATCGTTGAAATGGTTAATCGGCAAAAAATCAAAACTATCGCTTTTCAATAAACTTGTATTATACAAACAAATGCTCCAGCCAATCTGGACATATGGAATACAGCTATGGGGTTGCGCAAGCAAAACACAAATTTCCATCATCCAAAGATTCCAAAATTTCATGCTACGGAGTGTAACAAACGCGCCATGGTACGTAAGAAATTCTGACTTACATCGTGACCTCGGAGTGACAACAGTACAGGAAGAAATTCATACCAAAGCCAAATCACACCAAGATAGACTTAGTTGTCACATAAATGCTGAGGCGCATTTACTAGCGACAACTGAGCCAATACGCCGTCTAAAGCGCCGAAAGCCGTGCGATCTTTGGGCTTAAATCATTGAAATATAGTACAATTAATTTATTATTGCGTGGAATCGCCTAATCTATTTAAATTTAAATTGCTTGTTAGTTATCTAATAACTAGTTGCTTTATGTCTTGTTTTGTTTTATTTATTGTTCTTTAAAATCATATATAATAATAAAACAATTTATAATAAAAAAAAAAAAAAAAAACTTTCTTTTCAACTTTTTTTTCCTTCTTCCTTGGGGCAAATTATTTCAACAAACAATAAAGAAAAACTAATTATAGACAATGTCAAAATATCGGCAAAATAAATCAATTTTAATATATTAAAGATGTGAATATGAATGTTCAATTTTTTAATATAAAATAATTATCATTCTAATTTTAGTAGAAATGATGCTAAGTATGCTAAAAACATTGGAAATAATACCAAGCGCATCAAGATTTAAACTATGTATATTAAAAACTAGCTTAAAAAGTATATCAAACTTAATGCATCATGTTGCCTTAATATATCTGTGAACTACATACGAGTATATTACCCATAAAACAATTCCAAAAGCAATGTTTAAAAATATAAACTTTTGAAATTTATTGAATACATCATTAGTGTTTAATTATGAATATTAAATTAAGTTATTAAAACAACTATATTGAGCTTTTTCTATTAATCGAATTAAAATTAAAAACAAATGTGGTAATAACACTAATTTTTTTGAACAATTAATTATTGATATCAAATAGCAGGACTAAATCGTGGAAGAAGTCATAATCGATTTTCGAAGTTAGTAAAAGGTTATATTAAAATGCATATGTTTGACTTTATGAAGTCGAAGTTATAGTGATACCATCATCTATACCAGTTGAGAATTATAACTTCGCAAATCATTATAAATGGTCGCAATTTTTTGTTTTGTTAAGAAAAAAACTATTACTCTTTCTCTCATTGTCTTCCTCTCTTTGTCTCCATTTGTATATTTATTTATTTGGTTCTCTTAAATATGTACATTAGGGTGCTATTAAGCAAAAATAATAAATGCTATAAAGTGTTGCAAGTAATTCTTAAATTTGTAGAGCTTTTGCGCAAGTGGACAGTTTCAAATCAACTAAGACTGTACGATACCGGCCGTATGTTTTGGGTCGTTGACTGAGTAGAAGCGAAATATTTCCATAAAACCATAACACTTCAGCCGTCATGCTTTACTGTAGCTTTTAAATGTTCTCAGTATTAGGTTTTCGCGACACATAAGTCATGTCGTCTGAGCTAGAAATATTGAATTTAGACTCGTTTGAGAATATGACGCTGTTTCAGAAGTCTAATTTTTTGTGGGCATGTTCCTTAGCATAAGCAAGCAGACTGCTCTGAATTTTTTTTGCTTATGAAGGATTTTTTTTAAGCTACTCGACCACTCGGCGGACGGTTTCCGAACTACACTTTGTTTCATTCATTTTGTTCAATAAGAGTGCCTTTTCTCACTTTCATTAAAAACTTGATTGTTTTCTAATTCATTTTCAAGATACAGTGTTTTAAAAATTTAAAACATCTTACTTATTTATAAACCAATAAACTTAAACAAATATGAATATGGATGCAGATAAAAAATTTTTAGATGCTTTCATCGAATGTTTCAAAAGTAATCGCTGTTTGCGGGATGTCCAAAGCTGTGAATATAATGATCGCAAAAAAAAGAAGCAGCATATACTAAATTAACAAGACTTTGTAATCGTATAGTATGATGTCATAATTTTTGACAAATAACATCTTTCAGCTGTTTTGTGCAAAACTGTCAAGTTGAAATTTAACAAATTTTACTATGAATTGCTTTCTCATTAAGTATATTTACCATATTTAAATTCATAATCCTAAACCTAACCTATGTTAATCTAAAGCACTTATAATAATTCAAAGATCGTTTGTTTAGGTAGAGTTAACCAATGACTTCAAATAACTGAAGTATCTATAAATAAATAAAAAATATCAGTTACTATGTTTTTCGAACCCAATAATGCTCACATATATAATGCTTACATTCTTTTACAAATTGAGTATCTTTTTGATCTCATCATATCCGATTTGGCTGAAATTTTTTTACGGGTTCCTTGCATAAAATAAGAAGACGAGAAAGACGAGTATATCGAGAAAAAATTTTGAAATTTTTTTCCTGGGATATAGAATTTGCATTGTAGACATATTTTTAAACGACCATATTTCAGGCTCAGGTCATTTTTCGCCAAAATACGTAAAAGAATGTCCCATATATACATATACTTAAAAACAAGATTAGTAATTTTGTTGAACCACTTCGTTATAATACAAAATCGACAGTTCTTACAATAAAAATTCTGAAATTGTTAGAACTCTCAAAATTTGTATGTAGAACTAAAAAAATAGTTTCGAATAATTTATTAACAATGATTTAAGTTCTATTTTTGGTATAAAATAATTATCTGGTATATTAATTAGATCAGTTTTTAAATAAAACACGCTAATAGTAAAATAATATTTATTTAATTAAATATTTATAATTTATAATAATAAATATTAAAATCCACAAAATAAAATAATATATATATGTATATATATATATGTATATATATATATGCATATATTTATTTAATTTTGTTATTATTAATACAATATTAATAAACAATAATAATAGATACTTTATAGATACTTAAAAATAATAAAACTATATATTTATACAATAATAAACAATAATAAAATTATTCAACAAACAATAATATTTTAAAAAATTAAAACAATTATTAATATTTTAAAATATTAAAAGAAGTCCATGGTATATTTTATGTAGAAAGCCTTAGTTTTATATTTTCTAGTTTTGCAAGTTTAATATAAATGTTGTAATATATAATGCGATGTGCATATGAGCTGCTATGGAAACTTCATTTGAAATGTACTCTGAAAAGTTAAATAATTTTTAAATAAATTAAAAATTAAATATTGATCAATGTTGAATTATTATATACAAAATATACAAGTATAAATATATATGCTGCCGTTCTCCAATATACATTAAAGAGTTTCAGAAGCAGTCGTGTCTACGTCCCGGAGGTATTCATCTGTGCAGGTGAGGAGGTACTACTTAGCGATAACAACTTGTGAAAAAAATACTTTTACCATTACAAGCGTTCGTCTGTGCATAATAATGACAAATTCTATTATCTGCTACTCCATCCTAGTGCAATGATTATTTCAGTATATTCAGTAGTTGATAGAAAGGGAGTTAAGTTCTATCAATATTAAGCCACACAATTTGATGATTCTGAATAAACTGATGGAACTAGGTTGGGAAGCTTTGATGTATCCACCATATAGCATGAACCTTCCACCGTCTAACTAACAATTCTTTTGGTGTTTACAAAATTCTCTTAGTGGTGAAGTATTGGCCGACCGAAGAGTCTTTATATTTGATTTAAACTAGTTTTCAATAAAGAAAATATATGTTTCAAAATGTACCAAAACAGAGCAGATACTTTGGATATCACTCATTTTATAAATACCGCTGAGTAGTCTGATGAAGTAATTATCTAAAAACCTATTCACTCTGGCAGTCAAGGTATGCAATATGCGGGCTTGATTTTTTATGTCTCAGTTTTCATAAATTCTACAAAAGATCTAAAAGGAATGCGCAGTAGCTAGGGGTGACAACTATACAGCAATAGTCTGTGATATCTGAGCAATTTAACAATTGCACTAAATCTTCCAATATCAATGCTGTCCTTTTAATGAATCCTTAAGATCCTATAATAGTATACAAAAGTCTGTTCAGCAAAAAACCAAAATAAGATTTACTTAACTTTTAGATTTGCCATTAAAAATTTACAAAAGATGATATAATATTGTTTTTGGAGATATGATCTTGGTATGAACGTGGATATAAATGTATATTGATACCAAGTAAAATATAGTTGGAATAGTGATATTCCAAATAATTAATTTCAGTGGTATAGACATGGGCGTATCCAAAAGTGAAATGATTTAGACATAGTGTAGGTACTGATATGCTAATAGTTCTTTCTTTTAAGTGTGAGACTAGTACTCTTAGTGGTTTATTCTAATTCACAAATTGTAACAGATAGTTCAAAAATTGAAAATATTAAATAAAAAAACCGAGCTTTCTTTGATTGAGGTTACTTTTGTATTATGTGTTGTGCTTAAGGGAAAATGTAAGAAAATAAAGATTTTTGATTTTTCTTTAGAATTAGCTTTGCTGAGATCAGATTCTTTATTATATGTAAATCAATAAATAACTAATAGAATAAATATGGTTTAATTAGGTTGCGTGGTAAAATTTTTCGGACATGTAGAGTGAATGTGAAGTGAAATTTGGTAGAGTGAATTCACCAACAGAATCATGCGATTTATCACCAACAGACGTTAATTGTGTGGCTATTTAAATAATAGTATATATGTGGACACCTCCAAATTTTTAACGCTTTGAAAACGAACATCTATTAAGTTCTTATTGAGTTGTTAGTAGCTATGTGCCGGTAAGTCATTGACAATAGTAGCTCAATATGATCCAGTATTATAAGATGTCTCATACAAAGTCTATCATGTTAAAATGAAAATTTGATCATAATCTCACTCATAAAGCATGTTTCATAAACATTTACTTTTAGAACAACAACATACATAGATAGTCCTGTATATTTGTGAATGGTAAAAATATTACCTTCTATAACTATTAACTGATTGCCATTATTTCTAATTTGGTTTGATTGGTGGATATCTTTTTTGGCCTTATCTAAAAAAGTATCCATAAATGAGTATTTAAGTAAATAGTAAGAAATTAATTTTAAACTTACGTAAAATGGTGATTGACTGATCAGTTTCTCCTACCATATTTTTGGCTACACATTTATATTCTCCAAAATCTTTCGCCTTCGAAGGTTTTATAGTTAGACGCATTACTATTTTATAGACGTTGTCAAGTGTCAGAGATTCATAAGTTCCACCCTGGATGAAATCTTTTTCTTTTAGCCAAAAATTCACTGTAGTCGGATAACCCTCCGTTATGCACTCCAAAGTAATTTTCTGTCCATAGTTCACATATATTGTATCATAGCGAGTCCAAATATTAGGTTTAACTAAAAACAATCAAAAATATTTATAAAAAAAAAAGAAAAAATTAAAGAATAAATAAATAATTTACAGTTGACAATAACTGAAATCCTTTTGCTGACCGTGGGTGGTACGCCATTTGAAGCAATGCAAAGGTAAGCGCCCATACTACTACGAGTCACTTCCCAAAGTGTTATATTTGGTCCCTCTATACTATAAACTTCACGTCCGTTATTTGACGTTATTGGTAAATCTTTTTCTCGTCGCCAAGTTATTGCAGGAAATGGTAAACCAGTTGCACTACAAGTAAGGCTTATATTTTGGCCTTCCTTAACATTCATGTCTTGACTTGTTTCATAATCTATTATATCAGGTGGTACTACCACATCTAAATAACCGACCTGACTTTTCATTGGATCTGTATTTATCTGACACATATACCAACCACGATCGGATTCACGGACATCTCGAATTCTCAGTTGCCAAATACGATGCTCCGTATGCGCAATACCAATTCGATGATTTTTAGTGATGACATGATTTTGAATACTTAAAATAGTTTGTGTATCGACACGTAGCCACGCTACCTGGAATAATAAAATGATTCCTTCATTAATACTTTACAATTATTTATCAAAATTCTTATAGATGCTATAAGACAATAAGCTATTTCTGAAATAATAAAAAATATATTAAAAGGAAATTTAGTAGCTCAAACGGATTTATTATGCAAGTCTTTGGAATACTGTCTTGAAGGTCTAGAGTGACCTTTACGCCTCTGCGTAGAAAGCTGAATTCTGTTGGATTATCTATCGTTTGGCCAAGTAGGACTTAAAAGTGGTTTCTTAAACGTGTTCTGTAAGTCTATACTCTATTTCTAAAATCTTTTTTTATTCTGCAAATACTTAAATGTTATAACAAGAAAGAAAAGCGGTTGTAATGAATTTTATAATTGAATATGTATACGGATTCTCTTACAAACTCTTACAACTCAATTTAACAGATCTTTCGTTCTTACCGATAATCAGTCTGATAAACTGTCAAAAAATACTTTCTTAAAAACTCAGAAGAATCTGGAAGTTATAACTGAACAATTATAGAGAAAATGCTTCATTGTTTCTTTTTCCTGTACTTTTTCCACAACTTTTACAGTGAATATTAAAAGGAATGCACAGTTGCTATGCATGGGGTCCTATACGCTAGTGATGAGAGAGAACTGCAGTAAACTTTTCGGTCTTTTAATGAAATTCAAATATGTAATCGGAAAATTACATATAACCTAAGTGTATTATTATTGGCTGAAAAAAATTAAGCTAAGTATTTCGCTTAACAATGTCCAGAGAAACATGAGCTGGTATACCGAGGCATACATCCAGGAAAACACCAAGGCAGGCCAAACCGTTTACTTTTTTATTTCCTTCGATGTTCCTAAATGTTCCGATATCCCAGTGGAAATGATAGGATCTTTTAATTCAAACGAAAAAGAAATTTAAACTTAGTAGTAAAACTTAAAATTTCTTCAAGTATACCCGATAATAAATCATTTTATGAAAACGTAGCAGAAAGTGAGTTATCTGACGCAGAGTACTATCGGAATATTATTTAACACAATGTAGTTCAAAAACGAGTTAATTATACAATATAATAAATTATGTGTCATATAATATAAATAGATTATAGAATAAATTTTTTTTTACTATCGCCAGTAAAAAATGTTTTGAGTGTATCAGAAGTTATATTTTTATAGGAGATAGGATTATATACTTTTTGATAGGACTATTTCTTTAACACTATTAAAGCTATAATCCCAATTTTATCTTAATGTCTACACCTAATCAAAAGTTATTATTTTGGCTAGAAAGCCAGGTCAAATTTCACTCTGTGCATTGATTTGACTGATTAATAGATGTGTTATTAAAATTTTCTTCTTACCTTGAATGTGACCAAATCATGTACAACACAAGTGAGTGTAGCATCGCGACCGACTGGAACAGTAACATTACTAATAGGTCCATTAAATTTTGGATCAGCTGAAAAGAAACAAACATATTGAAATTTATGCAGCACTATTTGAATCACAAATTAAATATTAAAGCCACTTTAAATATAGCAGTTTTATTTTACGTCTAGTCCTTACGGCCAAAAAAGGGTATGGAATTCAATGCATTGTGAGTTTTTTCATGTGGCATTTCTGATTAAATTATCCGCACATAACAGGGTAACTACACCAATGACGGTTGCACGAGGGGCTAGTAATTGGCAGTTTACACAATTTTTGTGGCCATTCCTGTAATGGAACTCACATAATCAGTATTCGGGGTCCTTTTATACATTTTCCGCATATAAACATTTATAAAGGAACACTTATTTTGTAATGAAGTTAATAAAATGACTACACATATGCAAAGAAAATTGCAGTCAAAGGCAGTACTTTGTGTATTACAAGTAATAATTCAGAGTTCCTTAATTAGCTTTAATAAAATACAAGGATTTTCAGATTAAGAACTAATAATTGCGGTCTTGAAATCTCTTATAAAATATTTTGCAACCTTTAAGGCTAGAGGTTTTTTTTGGAAATGTGATTAATGTAAATTGGGTATATGTTCAAGATATATATCAGCTATCAATAACAAAGTGTAGAATGCTATATAACAATTCGTATACAACGAGCTGGCTGTCGCATATGGCTTAATTGTCGAATGGTTCAAGGTTGATTTTCCTGCTCTACATTCCTGTTGATGTAGAGCCGGTGGACTCTTAAAATCTGCAATTATATTTTATATTTGCCTGAACGCGGCGCCAATGGTAGTTGTATGCACTATGCAATATGATATGATGTACCTAAAATCGCAAGTGCATTATGTACATGGATTAACGTTGTTCTGTTTAACGTTGTTGGAGCGTTACGTGGTAGTTGAGGATATCTCGAAACGTTTGGTAGTTTTTTGTAACCCTTGTGCAAATGAACACAATATATTTTTCCAATGCTCTTTATTCTGGTAGCCGTTTCAGAATAAAGGTTGGAACATTATACCCGAAATCTTATTTAAGTGAGAACGTATACTTTTTGCGTCAAAGTAGATTTCTAAGTCTTGATTTAAGTTATTGTGTACATGTACAACACCATTAACATATTCTATTCTTCAACTTTTAATTATTTCAGTGCTCACAATGGTTGATTGCAAAGTAAAAGAGAGAGAAGGAAAGATACGACGATATCGTTAGATAGATAAAATAAAGTTGGATTATAAAAATATGTAGGATATTAAAAAACTATTTTAAGTTAAGAGAATAACAAGTGCACGAAAAAATGAAGAAGGGGTTTCGAAGATGGGGAGCAAATTATCGCATCTAATTTCCTTCAATGATTAGGCTCAGCGGTGCAGTTAGGCAGCGAGGGATTGTTGCATTTACAAGAATTCACTCAAAAATTCTCAAAAAATTGTTTGACATACTATTCTTAAAAGGTCTTATGCCGATAATTGAGTCGAAACTCAATTATATCCCATCCTCTCAAAAGTACTTGAGATACTATTCTTAAAACGAATAATTTCGTATCATCAGTTTGGATTCAGAAGAAAACATACAACAATTGAGCATATTTAAAAAATTGTTGAAAAATACAGACCACTTTCGAGCGACAACAATAATTCTCAGCAGCGTTGTTGGACATATCTCAAGCATTTGATCGTGTGTGACATCAAGGACTTATTTTCAAATCTACAATGAACTATTATACGTTTCTAAAACTTTATCTATTGACTTTATCTAAAACTTTATCTATATCTATTTATGCCAACAACGAGAATGAAATGTTTTCTTTATGTGATATGAAAGCTGTAGTACCACAAGGTAGTGTATTTGCAGTTGACAGAGCTATCCTGGCGAGTGGAAGCGATCTCTCTTAAATAACTACAGCTCTTAAAGTACATGCTGATCTTGATAATATATCAAAATCATTGAAGCATTGGTGTAAGAAAGTAAATAAAACCAAATCTACTCATATCACACTTACAATGAGAAGAGACATCTGCCCCGAAATCAAACTTAATAATATAATAATTCCGCAATCAAATTGCGTAAAAAATCTAGGCCTGCATTTGGATAGACGTCTGACGTGGAAAACACATACCTATTTTTAACAAAAGAAAATTCCTTGGGCTTTAATACCGAAAAATGTTTTGGCTATTGATTAAAAAATCTGCAGTAACCCTAAAAAATAAACTTATTTTATACAAAAGTGTGCTACAACCAGTATGGACCTATGGTATTCAACTATGGGAAACAGCCTGAACATCCAACATCAAAATTCTTCAAAGATTTCAGTCTAAAACATTACGAAAAATGGTAAACGCTCCATGGTATATAACTAATATCCAAATCTATCGTGACCTTAGGATAATTCCGCTCAAAGTTAAAGTAAAAAAGACTAGCTCTCCACAGGCATTATGATTTAAAGGTTATTTATAAAAAAATTGTAAAATGTCACAACATTATTTTACAAAATACGTATTACCGAAAAAAAATACGGTTGTTTCATAAAATAATGTATCAAACTGTTTTAAAGCACAATCAACACAATTTTACCAAAAAAAAAATGCTATTCGGTTTTAATTCTTGGATCCAAGAAAGTCCAAAGTGTTCTTAGCAGTATGTTCACGTTTTAGACACTTTGAGTTCTTTAAGTTACAATTACTACCATTTGATTCCAATTTTCTTATTATATTATAAATAATAGAACAATTTCACAATAGTACATAATGGACGAAAAGTGCCCGAAATGGATTCGAAATGGATTTATTTTACCCAGATTTCGCCCACAATTTTTTCTTTTCTTTTTGTTATCTTTAAAACTTTATTTTTAAATAATACTCTTTGGCGCTCAATAGATCGAATATTTTTCTTTAGGCTTTATTTGTAGAACGTGTTAGGGAATTTTCGATATTGACAGTCTAGATACAGGACCGCATCTCTCAACTCGATTTTATGTTAGATATGCTTTTTTCCTAAAAATGTATGGCTTATGTTAAATGTAGGTATGTGTTCATTGTTTTTGCCACTTGGTTAGTATGGAGATCATTGTATATTGCTCTTTGTAATAGGTAAAAAAACACAAAATATTACTTTTCTTCTCGTTATCTTTCAAATTATATCTTTAACTTTAAATTGGTTCTCTTTCTTCAAGGTTTACTATCAGAATGTTTTTAGGAAATGTATGCATTACATTTGTTTTTACGCTATTAACGAGTGAAGTGTTATCTATTCTAGTGAGCATATCTTTTTTGTGTGAAATTATTTCTTATTGATTCAAACTACAAAAATTTGTAGAAATGATCAAAATTTCAGAATCCGTTCACTTTAGCTCGATGTGGCCACCTTTTGTCATGACTATTGCTTTGAACGGTTAAAAATTAAGCTGCATACTTCACGAATATGATATTCCGGTATTCCTGAACATTGGTTTTTTTCAGCACGTTTGTACTGGTATATTTTTAAGTTCTCACTTTGCACTCCCCCTCACTAAAATGGCCCAGATGGAATAGTCCAATAGATTTACACTTGGCGAATTCAAAAGCCACTGTATGGATGAAGTAAAGTATATAATGTTCCTTTGATTTTTTTACCACTCTTAGTTCACACGAGCTCTGTGAGACGCGTCAGAGTCTAGTTGGAACATCCATGGTCTACTATTGAAATGTTTGCGTGCTCACGGCCTAAAAGCAATTTTCAAAACATTTTAACGATAATAAATCGCACTGATTTTGACACCAGACTCGATGAAAAGGATTGGAGAGCGTCCATCGGTGATCAAAGTTGCCCATACCCTTACTTGAGCTGGAAAAGAAAAATTACTTTGGGTGGTCATTCGTAGTCTCAAATGACAGTGAACGGCACTTCATTCAGTTAAGTAAACACGATCATTTTGAGAGTTTATGAACTGATCAATGGGGAAATTTTTTTCATCAGGCAACACATATGCTTGAAAATACGCCACATATGTGCTGGTGTAAAAGTAACAACTCCTTTGCTCTTGTGAGTCCAACATTTTGTTGCTTTGGTGTAAGATCTTGTATCTTTTGGAACTTGTAAGGCTTTACCTTGAAATCATTTTAGAATATGCCTCGGAAGCCTCGCTGGGGTATTTTTGGCCATTTGATTACCACTATGACGTGGATTTCGTTTAAGTCGAGGCTTTACTTTTCAAACCATTTTAACAGGCGATGCTTCTTGTAATATTACATCAATTTATGGTACGATACACAAACATTTTATTCAATTTGAGTTGTTTGATTTCACGAACAATAGCTGGTTGTGATTGTGATTTTCCAGCCAATTATAACGCAATCAGACTATTACATTTGAATTCTATTTTGAATAACTTTTATTCTATAAAAGTTAAACGCAAGTGCTTGTGGTGGATTGTAGACAATGTAAATAGCTGTCATTTTTATGAATTTCATATAGTTGGCAAATCAGTTTCATCAGAAATACCTGTGTGTAGTTGGTAACACATCAATCGCCTGTAAAATATTAGTTTGATCTCGAATTATTACCAAATACATAAAAATATAACAACAAATCAAGTATACGATTAAAGAATATTTAATGGACTTAAACCTCATGTATGACTTAGACTATTTGGTTTTAAGGTTTATATGACTAAAGCTTTCTCTGAAACTTATGTCCTGGTTAATTTTGAAAATGAATCTCCCACACATTTTTTAGTGTTTTGGAATAATGATTTTCGTGCCATTTTGACACGAGACACTCTGTACACCCTGTATACACTTGCAAAATATATATAAAAAATATATCTAATCGCAGGGATTGCCTCTTGATTTTGCTTATAGAACTTCAGAGAATTAACTAGAAAAAAAAGTAAATAAAAATTTTAATTATCAACAAACTTCGAAGCATGTAGTTTAAAGGATTTAAATATAATGTAGATCTCAACAAATATTACAAACTTAACTTTTCGTTTTCAACCACCTCATAGCATTGGACTGTTCCTCAACGAAATGGGTGGCCGTCAAAGAAATTGCAAATAGAAAAAATACAATAAAAAGTAAGTAGCGCGGATTGTGAGGGACTGAAAGGTTAACGATATAAAATTTATTCCCTGGGGAAAAAAATAAGTGAAATATAATTCCATTATTATGGAGTACATTCCTTTGATATTCACAAGACA